GTGACGGTCTCTGACCATTACATGGGTTTAGAATTAAAAAATTCACTTTTAAATTCACCCATTTATTTATACTTTATTTTACCAGATGCCAATTCAGTTAGCAAAATATAAAGATTTTTATAGCCCATGATGCCCTACGTGTCAAGGGGCCTGGCTGCTTTTTCCACCTCCTCTGGTCCGGTCCACAGATACAGGCTTAAGCTGGCCATACAAGTATAGATTTTGGTTTGAGAATTTTTGATTCAAGAATATTCGTTTGATTTTCTAATCGTTAGTGGGGGTCAAATCAATGTTCATTTTCGACAGCAGTGACAGGAAAATTCGAAGGGGCAGGAAGGAAAACCTTTCTCGATCAAATGAATTTTAAGCCAGTGTATGTGGTTATTGTTCAGAAATTACATTCGTTTTAAAAACGAATGGTAAAAGCAAAAGACAATATGACTGGATACTAACATTTATAGGTAAAGTTGATCCAGGGAATATCTGATTGCCTCTCAGGGGATCAGTAAGGAATTTTTTTCCCAGCAGGAGCAAATTGGATCGTGCTTTGCAGGTTTTTTTTTGGCCTTCCTCAGAATCAACTGTGGGTATAGGATTATAACTTTTTTTTTTTTCTATGGCTGAACTGGATGGACTTTTGTCTTTTTTCAGCCAGACTAACTATGTAACTAAGTAACAATTTTCGAACGACATTCGTCCATTCACCGAATGTTCAAAGATTTTTCGTACGACTTTTCATACGAATATTCTCGTCCGAAAATCTACGTGTATGGCCAGCTTTACTGGAAGCAACAACAACCTTTTCGTAAGACATCATGGGTTCCCAGCATAACTAGATCCTCCGGCTATGCCCGCTAGGTCCTCCTGAGTCTATAAAATGAAATGTTTATCTGTGCACCTTTTTTTCCCCCCATACGGTACCGTTTACTACCAACAAGGTGATAGCTAAAGTGTGGATCCATATATAAACAAAAAGCACCGCTAATCAATAAGTGATATACAGTCAGGTCCATAAATATTGGGACATCGACAACTCTAACATTTTTGGCTCTATACACCACCACAATGGATTTGACATGAAACAAACAAGATGTGTGTTAACTGCAGACTGTCAGCTTTAATTTGAGGGTATTTAAATCCAAATCAGGTGAACAGTGTAGGAATTACAACAGTTTACATATGTGCCTCCCACTTGTTAAGGGACCAAAAATAATGGGACAGAATAATCATAAATCAAACTTTCACTTTTTAATACTTGGTTGCAAATCCTTTGCAGTCAATTACAGCCTGAAGTCTGGAACGCATAGACATTACCAGACGCTGGGTTTCATCCCTGGTGATGCTCTGCCAGGCCTCTACTGCAACTGTCTTCAGTTCCTGCTTGTTCTTGGGGCATTTTCCCTTCAGTTTTGTCTTCAGCAAGTAAAATGCATGCTCAAATCGGATTCAGGTCAGGTGATTGACTTGGCCATTGCATAACATTCCACTTCTTTCCCTTGAAAAACTCTTTGGTTGCTTTTGCAGTATACTTTGGGTCATTGTCCATCTGCACTGTGAAGCAGCATCCAATGAGTTCTGAAGCATTTGGCTGAATATGAGCAGATAATATTGCCCGAAACACTTCAGAATTCATCCTGCTGCTTTTGTCAGCAGTCACATCATCAATAAATACAAGAGAACCAGTTCCATTGGCAGCCATACATGCCCACGCCATGACACTACCACCACCATGCTTCACTGATGAGGTGGTATGCTTAGGATCATGAGCAGTTCCTTTCCTTCTCCATACTCTTCTCTTCCCATCACTCTGGTACAAGTTGATCTTGGTCTCATCTGTCCATAGGATGTTGTTCCAGAACTGTGAAGGCTTTTTTTAGATGTCGTTTGGCAAACTCTAATCTGGCCTTCCTGTTTTTGAAGCTCACCAATGGTTTACATCTTGTGGTGAACCCTCTGTATTCACGCTGGTGAAGTCTTCTCTTGATTGTTGACTGACACACATACACCTACCTCCTGGAGAGTGTTCTTGATCTGGCCAACTGTTGTGAAGGGTGTTTTCTTCACCAGAGAAAGAATTCTTCGATCATCCACCACAGTTGTTTTCTGTGGTCTTCCGGGTCTTTTGGTGTTGCTGAGCTCACCGGTGCGTTCCTTCTTTTTAAGAATGTTCCAAACAGTTGTTTTGGCCACGCCTAATGTTTTTGCTATCTCTCTGATGGGTTTGTTTTGTTTTTTCAGCCTAATGATGGCTTGCTTCACTGATAGTGACAGCTCTTTGGATCTCATCTTGAGAGTTGACAGTAACAGATTCCAAATGCAAATAGCACACTTAAAATGAACTCTGGACCTTTTATCTGCTCATTGTAATTGGGATAATGCGGGAATAACACACACCTGGCCATGGAACAGCTGAGAAGCCAATTGTCCCATTACTTTTGGTCCCTTAACAAGTGGGAGGCACATATGCAAACTGTTGCAATTCCTACACAGTTCACCTGATTTGGATGTAAATACCCTCAAATTAAAGCGGACAGTCTGAAATGAAACGAACAAGATGTGCTTTAACTTCAAAGCCATTGTGGTGGTGTATAGAGCCAAAAATGTTAGAATGGTGTCGATGTCCCAATATTTATGGACCTGACTGTACATGCAAAACTGAAATCGCATTAATGCGAGTAAAAAAAAAATGTGAAATTCTCTATTATATAGAACATTAAATAAAATGTTCATATAAATGTGCCAAAACACAAAATAAAATGTCCTTATAGAGAGTATGCAGAAGAAAACAAAAAGGTTGACAATGTCCTTGTTTAGAACGCCTCCATCCAGGAAAGACTCAATCCACAAAGTGTGAGTGAGAGGTTAGCATTTACCACTCGGTGCAATATAGTGAATCGATATTAGGAAAAATTCCACCACCTTGTAATACGAGTAAAAGCACTAAGTCAGACCGGCAGATAGCACTGACCCACATTGCTATGTGATGACGCCACACGTGGCTGGTTTGTGACGTCATTATGTAGTGACGTCTGTCTGTGCTGTCTGCCAGTCTGACTTGGCGTTTTGCATCAGCCTGCTACACAGATTTTATGTAAGAAATTTTTTTTACCGTTATTACACTTTTGGCTCTTTGTGGATGCGATTACTTTTAAATATAAAGTAAGATTTTTAAACCTACTTCACGACTGGAAGAAAGTTTATTTTTCTATCCACTGGTGACATTGGCTACTGAGAACATTGGTTTGTTGCGGTGGAGTCATCCCTGGCTATGGTGTGCTGAGCGTATTACGACAATTTATAACTTGATGGTCCATCTGATATGGTAAGAGGTGCTTTTAACCGTGTTACAAGGAGGTTGAATTTTTCCTAATATCATTTCACTATATTGCACCAAGTGGTAAATGCTACCCTCTCACTCACACTTTGTGGACTGATTCTTTCCTGGATGGAGTTCTAAAAAAAGGACATTATCGACCTTTGTTTTCCTCTGGATACCCTCTATATGTGCATTGGCACATTTATATGAACATTTAATTTAATATTATATAAATGAGAATTTATTTGCACTTTTTTATTTTTTTTTTACTTGCATTAAATGCAATTTCAACTTCAAATGTATGCCATTGATTAGCATTGCTTTTTCTTTAGATTGTTTGAGTGACTGGTATCACAGTTCACAGCAGCTGCTTGATTATGTTTATTGGTGATCTAGTGCGGTGGTCCAAGCTGGGATCCCTATCTTACAACAATGGAAAGCAGAGATTAAGGCTACATTCACACTGAGGAGTTTTTCAAGCTTTTTTGTTGCATTTGCAGTACGGTGTAAAAACTCCTGCCTGCAGCATCTTTGGGGCATGTTTGTGGAGTTGTGAAAAAAAAAAAAAAAAAAAAAAAATAGCCCCTTCCCATTGAAATCAATGGAAACCGCTTGAAAAACGCATGTCCTTTAACCAGTTGCCGACCGCAGATAGCCGAATGACAGTTGCACTGCGGCCAGTCAGTTCTGGGAGGGCGTCATATGCCGTCCTCCCAGAACGCACTCTCCTGCACGCCCCTGGGGGAGCGCACCCGGCAATCTCCGTGATCGCTGTGTCCTACGGACACAGCTGGTCCCGTGAGGTGGTGAAAGGCCTATCACAGTTGCCTTTTACCACGTGATTAGCCGTGTCCAATGACACACTGATCACAGGGAAATGCAATTGCCTGTTCTCGGATGCACTTTCCTCACACTGCCAGAGCATGAGGAAAGTACTGCCGAGAACCAGCAGTTATCAGAGCAGGGATCGGCACCGATCATCAGGGCATCGGTGATGATCGGTGCCCAGCAGTGCCACCCACCAGCTCCGCCGACCTGTGCCCAGCAGTGCCACCCACCTGTGCCACCCACCAGGGCTTATCAGTGCCACCCACCAGTGCTACCAACCTGTGCCCAGCAGTGCCGCCTCATTAGTGCTGCCTATCAGTGCCCATCACTGCTGCCTCATCAACGCACATCAGTGAAGGAGAAAAATTACCTGTTTGCAAAATTTTATAATAGAAACAAAAACTTTTTTTTTAAATTTTTTGCATTTTTTTTATAGTGCAAAAAGTAAAAAACACCCAGCGACGATTAAATACCACCAAAAGAAAGCTCTATTTATGAGAAAAAAATATAAAAATTTTCTTATGGGTATAGTCTTGCATGACTGCGCAATTGTCATTCAAAGTGCGAAAGCGCTAAAAACTGAAAATTGGCCTGGTAAGGAAGGGGGTATAAGTGCCTGGTAGGCAAGTGGTTAAAAAATGAGGCAAAAATGCGGTAAAAACGCCTACCCGTTTTTGCAGCGGATCAGTGTGAAAGTAGCCTAATAAACACTCCCATATAAGAAACCGGCCTATGACCACAGAGGTTGCTTGAATAAAATTTCAGATAATGTGGGCTATACAGCAGGCAGAATTCTACCCGTTGTCCATATGACAGCTCCTACCTGATATTGATAGGGTTCTTATGTGTTTAGGTCCATTGCAGTGCCATATACCTATTTGTGATTAGTTGATCCCCTGGGAAAAGTAACTTCACATGGATTAGTAAATCACATGACAGCATTACTAAATTATAACAAAAAAATATTTAATGTGACCTACAGGGGCGGACTGACAACTCATGGGGCCCACGGGCAATAGGGGATCATGGGGCCCCTGTGTCCTTGCCCAAACTCAAAAAAGCCTATGGAAAAGGTACCAGGGGCATCTCATGGGGCCCCCTACTGACCCCGGGCCCTCGGGCAGTGCCCGTGTTTCCAAATGGTCAGTCCGCCTCTGGTGACCTATAGCCTAGACAACCAATATCCACATGCACCGTGGTGAAGTGCACATCACTGTCAATGCCATAGTGCAGGGGCCTCCAAACTATGGCCCTCCAGGTGTTGAGGAACTGAAAGTCCCATGAGGCCTTGCAAGACTGACAGCCACAGGCAAGACTCCCAGAGGCAGAGCCATGATGGGAGTTATAGTACTTCAACAGCTGGAGGGCCATAGTTTGGAGACCCCTGCCATAGTGTAAAGGGCTCCAAGGGTATATTCACACCATGATATGATGGGACTGCATTGACCAGCTATTCCAATGCAGTCCCACCACATGGACAAGGACATATAGACTCCTATGTGCTCAGATCACACCACTGTACTGCGGTGGTGTGCAGGCACAGTGCACTGGGAAAAAGTACTGTGTTCAGTACTTTTTTCAACACATTGCGGTGAGAGGCAGTCCACTGCCTTGCACCACACAACCAGTAGTTGAACTTTGAGATGTCTTTGTGACATCTAAATAAAGTTGAGATTTTTATTTAGAAAAAAAAAAAAAAAAAAAAGTGCGACCCACCAAGACCAGCGCTTCTTCACTGTGCTGATCTCAGCTGGATCACACTACACACGAGCCACTGTGTTGCAATGCATCGGCTGGTGTGAACCAGCCCTTAATCATGAGAATTACTGCAAGCATTTCTTGATGTTGGACTATCAAAGATACCATATTTTCCGGCGTATCAGACGACTTTTTATACTTAAAAACATACCCCAGAAATCGGGGGTCGTCTTATACAATGTGAACCTTTAGTTTGTTTGGGCCAAGCTGGCTCAAAACGAACGTCCCTAATCTGCCAGCCCACTGGATGTGCGGTAATACTGTTTGTACGATAGCAACATACAGTATACCGCGCTGAGCCAATCACAGCGAGCAATGTATTCTATTAATGAATACAGAGCCTGCTCGGATTGGCCGAGTTTGTGACATCATCATCAGCCCGCCTCTCTGACTCAGCCAATCCGAGTAGGCTTTGTACTCATTATTAGAATACATCGCTTGCCGTGATTGGTTCAGTACAGTAAACTGTATGTAGCCGAAGCTACCATACATACAGTATTATCGCACATCCAGCGGGCTGACAGATTACCGTAGGGACATTCGTTTTGAGCCAGCTTGGCTCAGCGCGGTATACTGTATGTAGCCAAAGCTACCATACATATAGTATTACCGCACATCCAGCGGGCTGACAGATTAGTGGCTGTATATTTAATCAAATCTGATGTTTATTCAAATCTGATGTTTTTAAATGGCGTTGCCTCGGAAGGGGGGGGGGGGGTGGTAGTCTTATACAGCGAGTATAGCCCAAAACCTATGTGTTAACTAGAAAATTAGGGGGTCGTCTTATACACCCAGTCATCTTATATGCCGGCAAATACGGTACTTAGGAATCCAGGGGCTGACTCTGCCCACCACAGCCTCCCTAGAGAACTGACTTAACTATATGCGCCTTCAGATTTTCTCACATAGTACTTTACTAGTCTGTAAATCAATAAAAGGAGCATTTTCAATAAAATAAAATCTCACAACCTTTAACACATATTTTAGAGTGTAATTCCTGCTTACACCCAACTAGCCTTAAAACTGTCCTCGTTCACCTCCTAACACCTATACTTCCTAATCTGTGTAACATAGATGTATAGAATTACCTATTTTCAACCCACTCCCTTCACATGACCCCCCTGTGTCAGCTAGTGGTGGCTGCAGGGGAGAGGAAGCAGCTCTCCGACAACTGCTAGAAAAGCCTGCAGCTGTGACGTCACCCATTGACTTCAATGGCCCATCTGCTGTCGAGTGCTCCCTCCAAAAGACAGCTACAGCACAGTCATCTACTTCTAGGACAGTGGTTCTCAACCTTTCTAATGCCGCGACCCCTTAATACAGTTCCTCATGTTGTGGTGACCCCCAACCATAAAATTATTTTCATTGCTACTTCATAACTGTAATTTTGCAGTGGGAGGAGTAGTGCCACATCATTGGTGTCAGTGGAAGGAGTAGTGCCCCATCACTGATGTCAGTGGGATGAATAGTGCCCCATTGTTGGTATCAGTGGGAGGAATAGTGCCCCGTCACTGATGTCAGTGGGATGAATAGTGCCCCATTGTTGGTGTCAGTGGGGGGAATAGTGCCCCATCGTTGGTGTCAGTGGGAGGAGTAGTGCCCCATCGTTGGTGTCAGTGGGAGGAGTAGTGCCCCATCATTGGTTGGTGTCAGTGGGAGGAGTAGTGCCCCATCATTGGTGTCAGTGGGGGGAGTAGTGCCCCATCATTGGTGTCAGTGGGGGGAGTAGTGCCCCATCATTGGTGTCAGTGGGGGAGTAGTGCTCCATCACTGGTGTCAGTGGGGGGAGTAGTGCCCCATCACTGGTGTCAGTGGGAGGAGTAGTGCCACATCACTGGTGTCAGTGGGAGGAATAGTGCCACATCATTGGTGTCAGTGGGAGGAATAGTGCCCCATCATTGGTGTCAGTGGGGGGAGTAGTGCCCCATCATTGGTGTCAGTGGGGGGAGTAGTGCCCCATCATTGGTGTCAGTGGGGGGAGTAGTGCCCCATCATTGGTGTCAGTGGGGGGAGTAGTGCCCCATCACTGGTGTCAGTGGGGGGAGTAGTGCCCCATCACTGGTGTCAGTGGGGGGAGTAGTGCCCCATCACTGGTGTCAGTGGGAGGAATAGTGCCACATCATTGATGTCAGTGTGGTGGAGGGGAGAATAGTGCCCCATCGTTGGGGTCGGGGGGGGGGGGAAATAGTGCCCCATCGTTGGTGTCAGTGGGGGGAGGAATAGTGCCCCATCGTTGGTGTCAGTGGGGGGAGGAATAGTGCCCCATCGTTGGTGTCAGGGGGGAGGAATAGTGCCCCATCGTTGGTGTCAGTGGGGGGAGGAATACTGCCCCATCGTTGGTGTCAGTGGGGGGAGGAATACTGCCCCATCGTTGGTGTCAGTGGGGGGAGGAATACTGCCCCATCGTTGGTGTCAGTGGGGGGAGGAATACTGCCCCATCGTTGGTGTCAGTGGGGGGAGGAAGGAATACTGCCCCATCGTTGGTGTCAGTGGGGGGAGGAATACTGCCCCATCGTTGGTGTCAGTGGGGGGAGGAATACTGCCCCATCGTTGGTGTCAGTGGGGGGAGGAATACTGCCCCATCGTTGGTGTCAGTGGGGGGAGGAATACTGCCCCATCGTTGGGTGTCAGTGGGGGGAGGAATACTGCCCCATCGTTGGTGTCAGTGGGGGGAGGAATACTGCCCCATCGTTGGTGTCAGTTGGGGTGGGGGAGGAATACTGCCCCATCGTTGGTGTCAGTGGGGGGAGGAATACTGCCCCATCGTTGGTGTCAGTGGGGGGAGGAATACTGCCCCATCGTTGGTGTCAGTGGGGGGAGGAATACTGCCCCATCGTTGGTGTCAGTGGGGGGAGGAATACTGCCCCATCGTTGGTGTCAGTGGGGGGAGGAATACTGCCCCATCGTTGGTGTCAGTGGGGGGAGGAATACTGCCCCATCGTTGGTGTCAGTGGGGGGAGGAATACTGCCCCATCGTTGGTGTCAGTGGGGGGAGGAATACTGCCCCATCGTTGGTGTCAGTGGGGGGAGGAATACTGCCCCATCGTTGGTGTCAGTGGGGGGAGGAATACTGCCCCATCGTTGGTGTCAGTGGGGGGAGGAATACTGCCCCATCGTTGGTGTCAGTGGGGGGAGGAATACTGCCCCATCGTTGGTGTCAGTGGGGGGAGGAATACTGCCCCATCGTTGGTGTCAGTGGGGGGAGGAATACTGCCCCCATCGTTGGTGTCAGTGGGGGGGAGGAATACTGCCCCATCGTTGGGTGTCAGTGGGGGGAGGAATACTGCCCCATCGTTGGTGTCAGTGGGGGGAGGAATACTGCCCCATCGTTGGTGTCAGTGGGGGGAGGAATACTGCCCCATCGTTGGTGTCAGTGGGGGGAGGAATACTGCCCCATCGTTGGTGTCAGTGGGGGGAGGAATACTGCCCCATCGTTGGTGTCAGTGGGGGGAGGAATACTGCCCCATCGTTGGTGTCAGTGGGGGAGGAATACTGCCCCATCGTTGGTGTCAGTGGGGGGAGGAATACTGCCCCATCGTTGGTGTCAGTGGGGGGAGGAATACTGCCCCATCGTTGGTGTCAGTGGGGGGAGGAATACTGCCCCATCGTTGGTGTCAGTGGGGGGAGGAATACTGCCCCATCGTTGGTGTCAGTGGGGGGAGGAATACTGCCCCATCGTTGGTGTCAGTGGGGGGAGGAATACTGCCCCATCGTTGGTGTCAGTGGGGGGAGGAATACTGCCCCATCGTTGGTGTCAGTGGGGGGAGGAATACTGCCCCATCGTTGGTGTCAGTGGGGGGAGGAATACTGCCCCATCGTTGGTGTCAGTGGGGGGAGGAATACTGCCCCATCGTTGGTGTCAGTGGGGGGAGGAATACTGCCCCATCGTTGGTGTCAGTGGGGGGGAGGAATAGTGCCACATCGTTGGTGTCAGTGGGGGGAGGAATAGTGCCCCATCGTTGGTGTCAGTGGGGGGAGGAATAGTGCCCCATCGTTGGTGTCAGTGGGGGGAGGAATAGTGCCCCATCGTTGGTGTCAGTGGGGGGAGGAGTAGTGCCCCATCGTTGGTGTCAGTGGGGGGAGGAATAGTGCCCCATCGTTGGTATTAGTGACACAAATGATGGGGCACTATTCCTCCCACTGACACCAATGATACTTACCTTGCTGACCCCTGCTCTCCAGCCTGGGCTCGCTCTCTCACTTACCTGTCAGCTGTCTTCCTTCTCTGGCCGCTCTCCTCTTCACTCGCTCCCTCGGTCTTCTTTGATGTCCGCGCGCTGCCGCTTGGCTCCTCCTCTCCAAGCTCCACCTCCTCGCCGGTGATTGGCCACCTGTGTGCCTCTCCTGAGCTACAGTTCCGGTGGCCAATCAGCGGCGAGGAGGCGGAGCTGCTGAGCGAT